ATTTATCCTGTCGTTCTTCGCTTAAAAGAACGTGAATATTCATCGCCGAATATTCTTCTGGCCTGTAAATTAACTGTCTAAGTTGGTTTGTTAAAAAGAAAGATTTGGCAAAATCGGATTTTAATTTAAGTAGCTACATCCAATGAGAATTTTAAGTAGATTATTATAATAGCCCGAGTGCGCGATGACGATGGTGGATCGTTTAATGTTCGGGATATAGTTAGGTGAAAAATTGCATACTTGTAACATATGCGTGATTATCCTAGTGTGCAAATGATTTTAGTTTTTAAGTAAATTTTTTAAGTAAAGTAGGGCTATTATGTTATTACAATTAAGTCATTTACAAACTTCGAATATGTTATGCATTTAATGCCTTATTTCCGGCTGTGTTTTAATTGATATTTTCTCTTTCGTTTCTTCTTACGCGCATCACGAAAGGATGCGATATGTAGAGAAATGAGATGTCCATTCATATTCCACGATTACACTTTTCTCAAATCCTTCAATTCCGATGATTCGCTCCATCAAAAATCACACTGACCGATGCTTTATCTTGTTACCGATTGTTCCGCGAGATAAATCCACGATTGAATATGTCTCTACAACGAAACGATCGATTCAAATTAAGAAGCAAATAAACGCATATAAACATTCGCTCATGCGCGCGCGCACGCTCGCGTACACACACACACACACACACACACATTCACTCAAATCTACACTTACACGTATACACATGTAGTAAAATACCTGTTCGACGATACCCTATGGTATATTTATATCATTTTATTATTCTGTAAATAGTTCCCTACCTGCATAATATAATAAGTAAACATAATATGCTCTATCGCGTAATTTAGTATAAAGAAGTATGAATATTGATATTATATCAACAAACTGTAAATAAAATTATTTTGTAATGCCAAAAGAAACCAAATGAGAATAACTACTGTGTACACGATCTTATGCATAGTTGAATGCGTACAAAAGACACACATAACGCACCTACATACATAAAACAGACAGACATAAAACACGCGCATCGAATGCCACTGTAAGAGGTATGATTGCGCGCAATCACCCGTGTCCAATTAAACACATGACAACATTTCGTTCGACAATACGCACCAATTAGAATTTTACTTTTCAACGGATGGAATCGAAGTATTCGCTCAGTGATGATTGTTGTCTCAATCATACTTCTTTTTTCTTTTTTTAATAAATAATGATCAACTTAAGTTAAGCCTAAGTTAAGCATCTTATGCTAGAAATTAAGTATGAATTATGAATTTCACGTTTTTGTATCTTGTCCAATGAGAACGGAATAAGAGAAAAATGAGAAAGAGATCAGAGGTGTCGTATCTCTTGCTATACGTAGACAGCAATTAACGGAATTTATACTATGAAAACGCTGAGAGATAGAGAGAAGCGCAGAAACGTTGGATTAGCAAATTACGGTCTTGTTATTATATTAGGAGTTTCATATTCGTTCTATTGTGAAAACGAGATTGATGTACGCGCAATGACACGTCTTATTTTCCTATTACTTTTTTTACAACGTGCGTGTGTCGTATACGCGTGTGTATAACAAATCTAACGACGATCATATAATATACTTACAGAGATCACGTTATATTGTTGTAAAAATGTTTTCTAACATTATTATGTATTTGTACGATTAAACTGCGATTGAATTATCGGGCGCGATAAAATTGAGATGTTGCACATTCTCTCACGATACGGCAGGAATATTTTCTTAATTCTTATTGTAGAAGAATAAGAAAGAGAGAGAAAGGAGTGACTTGTTTATTTTATCACGTCGATGTGCTGTATGATCAAGCCTTGCAGTTCAGAAAGGCAGAAACTGTGAAAGAAGGAAAAATAAAACTAGATTTCGTTTAAAAACGCAGATACAGCAATCAAAAATTAACAATAATACTATTGATCGTTTTTGATTGGCTACTACGTTTTTATTTGCGAGTTTACTTATATAGAGGGACATTAACAGTCTTCTTTCATTAAAGAAACGCTTTTAATTTTTTGCTGCACAATATAAGCGGTTTTTGCTCATTTTTTTCGCTATCATGTAATTAGTGTAATTATATTGCGAGGGACAATGAGAGTCATTGAGTGGAGCTCAGTGAAACTAATATTCTTTTCTACGTATTTATAATCTCGTTGTAAAAACGGCCGTAATTGGATAATTGTTCTAATGAAAGTTTTTCAGATTCTATTCGTTGCAAATAAGCCAACCACTCTTACGTTGAACATTCCAACATTCCTATGAATTTTTCTTTGCTTTAAAATTGAGAAAAAAGACAAATATGGATATATTTTTAATCAATATTAATTAATGTGCATCTAATCGACATCCACATGCTCTGCTCAATGACTCGTGTCCAAAATCGTAAAATAACGTCCGAACGATCGTCGTCAAGAGAAAGGGAGGAAAGCTTCCTCCGTCATTGATTATTATCAGGTGTACTAACTATGCTCCTGGGAGGAATGACCGATTAATAATAAGCGAAAGTCGCAAATCGTGTCCACAATGCTGTACATAATAATTTTAGCTTGTAAGGATTTAGAAAAATAATAGCTGACGTTTACTCAGCGAGAGACGGAGAGAGAGAGAGAGAGAAAGGAAGGAATGTAAATTACCGCTCTCGCGTAATTTTGCGAATATCCCCCGGTCGCGTCTGAAAAAGCTTCTCCCTCACGCTCGAACGATACTGTTCTTTGAAGTCGTTTCCATTATCACAGCGAGTAGTATTTCTTTCGGATTTACGCCACACGTTCGATCGCCGTTTTAACCTTGAAAGAAAAAATAAATTATATGATAAAACATGTCACACTTATGTTAATGAGTGTACTGGGGTATCTCTTGGTGAAAATAAAAGATTATAGAGTTTCGAATATAAGGGAAGAATAACAGAAACGAAACTTTTTAGGTATCTATAAATGAAAACGGATAAGGTGGAACAATTTTGAACGAAATAAGATTTGAATCCAATTTTCAAGGTTCAAATTTTCTTCCACACAGCGAGAAGATTGTCAAACTTTTGAATCTCAAAAATTTGATTTAAATTTTATTTCATTCAGAATTGCACTACGTTTGAAATTGTACCACCTTATTCTAAAAGGAGTTTAGCTTTTAAAACGCTTTTTTTTCTTTACATTCTATTCTAATTTACGCTTCTCGGAAAGCTTCATTTGTGTTCTCTTCCTTTATATTAAACTTGCACTCCGGTCTTTATGTTCGCTAGAATTCTCTCCGTCGAAATATCGTACGATGATAATCGCGTTGAAAAATACAGTCTGTTCGGGCATAAAGAATGAATTGTTTGTAGGGTGAGGGAATGGTTCGCATAATTCGTCTGTGGCGATTAAATAGAGGCCTTCGAGACTCGCCTGCTAACCGACGGACTCGCCGTTGCGCTTCGTATCTTTTTCTTTCCTATCTATTTTTTTCTTTTCCTTTTTTAATTTATTCTACAGAGACACAGGTCTCGTGACTCGAAGCTGTCTGCATATCGGTCGCGGGTTGAAGTTCACGGCGCGATCCGGGGGATCCGGCTAAATCGGGCCGAGTTTGCCTAAGGCGACATTCAAAAAGTTATCCTCAATAAATGAGAGAAGCAAACGATCATTAAAACCGACTGCCAAAGACTTTTTTTACCCTGTCCCTTTGTAAACGTTTATAGTTTCCTTCCATTTTATTATTGATCCAGATATCGAGCAAACGTTTCAGTTTTTGAAACACCCTCGTTTGAACGCGAGAGCAACCATAAGAGCAACGGGGACGGGAGTTCTGCGCGCAACTTCATTCTAGACGATGCGTCATGTCACGTTGCTTTATTATGAATAATAGCGACGCAAACCTGAAATAGGTTTTCGCGCGTTTGTACAGTCGTTTAATTATCCCATATGCTGTTTGTTTCTGTGTAGTTGAAAATGATGAAAATTTAATAAAAAGAGCACATTCTTTATCGCTAAGGCAGATATAGTGGCGTTTTTCTTTATCCCATAGATGCAGGCTATACTTTACTGCTAAGTGACGCCTTATAGGATACTATCCCCGTGACAATCGAAATTTCAGAAAAGTAATACGGCGAAGTCATTTGTTTTTTAACGTGTATCGCATTAAATGAAATTATGACACGTGAATATTTAGCCAGTATAAATGAGAGTTTGATTCGATTCAAAATTTGGCGTCGGTCCAAAGTCTGGTTAAATTGCATCGTATTTTTCAAATTTAAGGCAGCACTCAAAAATTGTTTTTGATATAAAGAAAGAATTATTTAAACAAGATCTATCTCTTTTACTTACGCGATCAATTAATCGCGATATAGACGTAGTACCTCGATTAGAATCTCGATTAATCTCGATAAAGATTCAAATTTCGAGCTGTTATCAATTGCTATGCTACAGCAGTGCCGGATCTATAATATGGTACCAAAGACTCCAAATCCTTTTAAAGTTTTCAAATATACTTATAATGTTAAATAAATGTAGTTTTAAAGTTTCTTCAGATCGATATTCATATTAAAGTGCCATAAATTTGATTTTGACATTTAATTTGGAATTTGAATGTTACGGTTTATTCACAGTTGGCACAAGAGCGTTCTCTATTTTAAAAATATTCACAAAACAAGTATTATAATAATAATAATCCATATATATATGTATATCTCATGACATATCTATCATAATTAATGTTAGTATATAAATAAGCATATTTTTTTCAAAAGATATTTATTAACTAACGAAGAGAAGTTATATTTTTTATATATATATATATATATATATATATATACACGCGCGAATTATTCGACATTAAAAAATTTCACTAATCAAATATTATCAATTTATGCACGTACCTCTTTTTCCTTTGCATCGTTCGATCTTTAAAGGGCCCTCGAAGGTCCCGTATCTACATCGATGAATCCGTCTTTATGCGAGAGGAGGTCCTTCAAGGTCGAAAAAATTTTCGCTCGTCGTGATGATGAACTGGACGTCACGTACGCAAAGGATTGCAACGTGGACGGTGTACCTTCGAGGCTATGATTTTCGATTAATTTTTTTTCTCGAGTGGCTCCCGATATCACGTACGAGATGGAAATGAGTGACGAGCTCGAACAGATATAAGAAATTAACCTAAAACGATAGATTCGTCTGTATATAAACAAGGTATGGATATCTCGAATCGTAAATTAGCCTGCTGGCTTCGAGTTAATGTTTTTTTTTATCACGTTTCGCACATTTTGCATCCTGAACAAATTTTTTACAGGCACTCGAATTGCACTTGCTTCTCTCCATATAGAATCATAGTTGACTTTTAGGATATATCATGTCTCGTCTATTGTTGTCTCATGATCTTACGTTGTTGTCAAAGAGTATATGGCCTAGAAATAAATATAAACAGATCCATCATTTGTAAGTAGAATTTATATTTAACTGACAATGAGAAAAAATAAATTACTCTTAGTTAAGACAGGTATTTATAGTCTCTGTTCTTATTTTAAGATTGTCTTAAGTAATGTCTTAAAATGCTAATACAACTCTCCAATTGTTTCACAACTGAAGATTATTTAAACAATCTTAAATGTAAAAATTTACTATGAATACTTTATTTAAGTTTAACATACTCAAATCTTTACATTAGCTGTAAAATTCTGGTGGTTGGAGGCGGTACTGCCGGCTGTTCGATGGCTGCAAAACTGTCAAGAAAAGTAAATGATCCAGAGCAAGTTATCGTGCTGGAACCCAACGATGTAAGTAATAGGTCAAAATTGCGTTATATATTTTTATTACTTATTCAACAATAAATTTAAAATAATTTTATAGGTACATTATTATCAACCCTTGTTTACTTTGGTTGGCGGTGGTATCAGTTCTTATGCATCATCGAAAAAGTATATGAAAGATGTTTTGCCAAAGAAAGTGAAATGGTTGAAAACCTCTGTCGTTGAATTTCAACCAGATGTTAACAAAGTGTCAACACATCATGGAGATACTATACAATATGACATTATGATTGTTGCACTTGGTTTGCAATTGTATTGGGACAAAGTGAGATATCTGATAATAACTGAATTGAATTTGTATAATGTACAAAACGATATAAAAATATTTTTCACAGATTCCAGGCCTGTTGGACAGCGTATATGATCCTGATACTCAAGTATGTTCTATTTATGGACCTGATACTGTACCTCACGTTTATGAAAAAATAAAAAACGCTGGACAAGGAACTGCAATATTCACGTTACCAAATACTCCGGTCAAATGTCCAGGTGCACCTCAAAAGATCGCCTATATTGCCGAAGACTACTATCGCAATGTATGCCTGTACAATTATTATATGTTAACTTGCAAAAGGAGAATTTTCAATTAATTGTTTATTTCTTACTTAAAGCACAAATTGCGAAATAACATCGACGTCGTATATAACACTGCGTTGCCAGTTATATTCGGAGTTAAGAAATACGCCGATTCCCTCTGGGACGTGTGTAAGCAGAGAGACATCACTGTCAATCTTCAAACTAATCTGATAAAGATAGATCCGAGCAAACGACAGGCCACGTTTGAAAAACTAAACTCGCCAGGAGAGACATTAGTACAAGAAGTATGTTTTATCTATGAGAAAGAAGGATTAATTATTATCCATAAATTTAACGTTCTTGTTATATTGTACTAGTATTCTCTCCTCCATGTAACACCTCCAATGGGACCGCCTGCAGTTTTGAAAAAACATCCAGCGTTGACTAACGAAGCCGGATTTCTCTGTGTTGATCCTAAAACGCTGCGACATATGAAATATCTAAATATATTTGGCATAGGCGATTGCACAAGTACACCAAATTCTAAGACAATGGCTGCAATAGGTAGAGAAAGAAAATATTTTAAATTTAAGGAATAATAAAAAGTGATTACTTATATCACGTCTGTTAAACAGCCGCACAGGGAAAAGTGTTGTATCAAAATATATTGGATGATTTGGCTGGCAAACCAATGATGATGGCTTATGATGGTTACGCATCATGTCCATTAGTTACCGGTTATGGCAAGTGCATTCTAGCAGAATTTGACTATAATTTACAACCAAAGGAGACTTTCCCAGTGAATCAAGGCAAAGAATTTTACATTATGTTTTTGTTAAAGAAATATTTGTTCCCATTCATATATTGGCATTTGATGTTGAGGTGAGATAATTTAGATAATAGACATTACGAGTGTATATGCATGTGCAATCTTTAGCTAAATTTTTGTACATATTACTACATATAGTTTTTACATGCAGAGGTTATTGGAACGGACCAGAATTCTTCCGCAAATTTACAAAGATTCTAAAGAAGGATTAGTGTTTGTCGAAAAGAAATATGTCTCGTGCCTGTTTCTACAACTAAAGTAAAGAATGACACCGTATTTCTAATTAATAATTGCTACACATGTACATATATGTATAAATATAATTTCTTATATTTCTGATATAAAGTTATAGACATCTAATAAAATTTAATTATATATATATATATATATATAAAATTTTAATGCTTATTATAATAATATTAAATAATGAATATTATAATATCTAATATTAAAAAATATAATATTGTTAAAATATTTAAAAGAATTTAAATAAGATTTATGAAAATTTTTATTATAAAAAATAAGTAATCCAGTGTTGTAGTTAAATTTTTTTCTCCCTAGGAGCATTCTAGGGAAATTATATTTAAGCAGTTAGCAACACTTTGCTGGACACGTCAAAATCAGCTATTTGACGTAAACATGGACGGTCAATTATTGGTAGGTTTTAAGATGAATATCAATTATTTTGCTATAAATTAAAAAATCTTGAAGCATATATTTATGATAAAAATATTTGTAGTATATTTGCGTAAAAAAAATCGCAGTAAACAACTCAAATTGCATGACATAACCTAAACGTGGCACAACGAACCTATTCCTAACATCCTAATTTAATTTCTTCTAATGAGTTACATGGTAAAATTGATTTGTGTTTTTTAATTTACCCCATCGGTTTTTTGCATCATTCTTGACATAACAAGAGAAAAGAAAAAAAAACATTCATATGAAATCTCACTGCTTAATATAATTAATCAAAATATTGCACTACATATGTATTCTGTTAGATATTCTACTATAGTCACATCTGTATAGATATGTGTAATTTTATTTACAAAATTGATTGTAAAAAATGATTTTAGGAGCCTTCATTATATACAGTGAAAGGAATGGCCATCCTTGATAATGATGGCAACAGGATATTGGCAAAGTACTATGATAAAAATGTGTTTCCAACATCAAAGGAGCAAAAAGCTTTTGAGAAAAATCTGTTTTGTAAAACACACCGAGCAAATGCAGAGATCATCATGTTGGATGGTTTGACTTGTGTCTACAGAAGCAATGTTGATTTGTTTTTCTATGTGATGGGCAGCTCACATGAAAACGAAGTTTGTATAATTACACAACTGTCAACTCCAAATATTATCATGGGGCATTAATTTCCTGGGCTTGTTTCAGTTGATCTTAATGAGTGTTTTAAACTGTCTATATGACTCGGTTAGTCAAATCCTCAGAAAGAATGTGGAAAAGAGAGCGGTATTGGATAGCTTGGATATAGTAATGCTAGCGATGGATGAAATTTGTGATGGCGGGTAAATAGAAGAATTTGGTTAGTTTTCAATCTAATGTGTGTGAAAAACAGTAAGCTAATTTTTATCATTCTAGTATAATTTTGGATGCGGACGCGACGAGTGTAGTGCAGAGGGTAGCACTGCGAACCGATGACATTCCACTTGGAGAACAAACAGTAGCACAGGTATACTTTATTCTAATATAGTTTATTTTTTTCTTAAATTACAAGTTACAATTTTGATTCACACATTTGACAAGAATTGTTTTTTGTTCTAGGTATTGCAGTCAGCTAAAGAACAACTTAAGTGGTCATTATTAAAATAAATATTATAAATATGATTCTTTCTCATAAACAGGTATGCAATATACATCATAAAATATTGTATAGTATAAGACTTCAATGAAAATATCAATACATATTTTTAATTTATGTCTATTAGTTTATTTTTTACTCTTAAAAAATTTTTTGGAAATATAGAAAATTCTTAGAAATACACTAAGAAAACTTTTAAATTTTAGATTGTACAATTTTCCTTTGTCCGTTATATTCTCCTAATACTTTGACAATTTTTGAGATTCTAATTATTTATTCTGAATTATTCCAATTTAAAATTGAATGAATTCCTAGAAATATAATTAAAAAATATATTTTGAATTTATATGAATTTTTTATATATAACTTTAAAATTATAGGCGGTCGGTAAAGTAACTAACTTTATCTGAAAGATATATTGACATTTCAATTACCAAATAGTAGACGGTCGGTAAAGTAACTAACTTTATCTGAAAGATATTGACATTTTAATTACCAAATGGTACTTTTCTCATTAGATGACACCACTCATTTGATTCTTAAATGAATAGAAACTGGATTCTGGAATTTATTTATTGAAAAGATCTCTGCTCTAATTTCTTTATTTATTGAATATATTTGCAGAATAAATTTTAATATGATGCTAACATACTTGTAATTTTGAAACATCATTCACGAGCAATATAAAATTTTTGTGGATTATAGTTTGCAATCTGGATTGTTGAGGTTGTCACTGTAGCTTTTTAATTATTCCAGACTGTATAAAAATCTGAAATTCTTGTATACTTGTAAAATCTTTAACAAGCTTTTATCTCTCATAACAAGAGCCAAATAACAAGGATATTACACTAAGTTTTCTCAGGAGACGATACCTAATCCCGTTATGTATTCATTTTCTTAAAATTCTTAAAATTCAATCAAGAAATTGGTTATTCCTCAAAAGACCCCTTTTATTGCAAGAGAAAAGTTAATTATATACTTGTGCGTACTCATACTATACATATTTCACTGGATGTAATTATATTCCGCGTGTGATCTCCATTGTAAACGCAGGAATGTATCCGTAATAATAGGAATAAATATGAGGATCATTTCTGCGCGATTATAGCGTCGAAATCGGTGAATTTATCGAAATTATATCAGCTTCAATCCCTGCGTGCGTGTCTCTAATGGAACCTCGGCGATGCTGAATTGCTCGCACGAACTTTTTGCCCGACGGCCCCCATCGGCGGCCACCGCCCCCCAGGGAAATCCAGAGCGAGCGAGGGTGGTCGTGGACGAGAGGAGAAGGAAGGGGGGGGGGGAGGGAGAGAGAGAGAGAGAGAGAGAGAATGGAAGTTAGGTAACGCGCGGCTCCATGGAGAAGCGGCGCGAGATATACTCCGTTTATCCGTCGTCTCGTGACGGCGACCCGTGGACGACCCGTTTCGATCGCGTCCGTTGGTTACTCTTTCATCGGCCTCCTCCGCGCTGGGAATTTTCAATTTGATTACAAACTGCCCGAACGCCACCCAGTCCACCCTCCTGTGCCGCGCGTTTCCGCTTTTCCTCATCCTCCTCCTCTCTGCCTCCTCCTGCTCTTCCACCGCCGCTCTTTCTCGCGCGTGGACCGATGAAAAACTCTCGTCGCTCGATCGCGACGGAATTATTGGCCGGCCGACTTTATTTATGGCGTTCATTTTCCTGGAGATCGCAACCGAGGCAGCCTGTCCACCATTTTTCTCTTTCTCTTTTTTTCGCTTATTTCTTTTCTTCGTCTCGTTAATTACTTGCTTATTCCGTACCTGATTTTATCGATATTATTAGTGCTATCTATCCTCGATGTGTTTAATCAGTCAATGCTGCCATGATTTACATTTTCTTCTGCTTTTGTTAATAATTAACAAAATTCGTACACTGTGTAATAAACAAATATTGTAGTTTATTTGAATAATATATTACTTTTTATTTCGTATTATTTTTTTTTACCATTTATACAATTCTGGAACTCGATCTACTTATCATAGAACAAACGATAGACTAAACTATTTCTCGATAAACATAACTATACGTACGGATTCTTTTTGGTAGAATAATACTTTTCATGCAAATTTATTGATTCATAATTTAAAAGAAATGAAAAAAGATGAATCACAGATAAATTTAAATAGAAATATATACAAATCCTTCTATGATATAATTACAGTGATATGAAATAAAATATCTCAATAGAATCGCTTTCAGATTTACCGATGTGTCTTATCTTCACTTTTCTCTTGACCTTTTCTCTTTTAACGATCGGTCGTTTTTTTTTTAAATGGAAAACATTTCACAGCCACCTTTATAGCTTCACTCGTGCACATTTTTCGGTTACAAAGATTTCCTTTCCGGAAAACCCCCACACGAAGTTTCGGTGCTTCATCAATTTCTCTCCTTTTTCCGTCAACGTTCTCGGTCACGTCGCCCTTTTTTTCTCACTCTTGTGCGAACCGTCGATACCGCGATTTACGACCCGTCAAGCGAGGAAACGAGCAGGACATTGATAACGACGACACTTTGACGAGAAGCGTGCATCGTTTCCTCCTACTAGCAGTGGGAATTAATTCCGGACACGCGTGCGCTTTTTTCTTTCGTTACATTATCTTTGAAATATTAAAACTATAGAGCAATATTAAGTATACACGTTTCTATCCCGCGCGTCTTTTTAACGAAGCAGGTAGATCAGAACGATACGAGAAATGTTTCGAGGGAATTACTGATTATTTTTCTCCTTAATTCGGTTTACTTCAGCGAAGTAAATTCAAGATTATAACTGCAATTGCGTTAATCCTTTCAGATTTGATTTTAATGAAACCATGTTAACCTTTTTTTTTTTAATTCAATTCAAGCACTATAATAATTAGTCATTTATACTAAACGATTAATTTTTTTCAAAATGCTGACTATTCTTTTAACATATACATTGTTTTACATGCACAATGTTACGTACATTACAATTAACGTACACACAGGGTCTGAAGAAGTTAATGACTTTCGATGAAAAATTTAAAAAAAAAATCATTTTTTCGAAAAATCTTAAAAAAAAAACAAAGACAGTTATAAGTACGTTGTTAACGCGGGATTGGTGTTGCGCCATTATTGCTGCTTCGTGGCTAAGAGCTATATGTATAAAACGTCGCAACTTATATACGTATATTGTCTGGCAATCTTAAATACATCCGAGTGCGTTGATGTGCACGTATACCGGAAAGATGAGGCGCTCTTTCGTAAATCAATAACTCCACGACGAGAAAGAGAGCGAGGGAGAGAGGCTCGTCGCGAAACGGCACATGCTAAACGCGCCCGTTAAACGGACTCGGATCGAATCTCGTTCCTAATGTTCTCGCGCGCACGGTGGTCCAGGTGGCTCGGCAAGGGCAATTAAACGTATAAACGGCGTGAATTAGCCGCAAGAATTGGCCCGCGGTCCGGCGCTTTTCAATGGACCGAGGCTGTCGTTGGGCATCAGGGGCCATTTAACACGATGACATCCCATTTACCACCCCCGCACAAAGACCCCGGCCGCGACTAGACCAGACAAGCAAAGCCCCGGAAACCCATATGTCAGCACGTGCCGCGCGTGCTGTTGCTCTCTTTCATGCACGATCGAATGTATACACCCCGTCGCGAGCACCATCGGACGCCGTAATCGTCGGCTGGTTTTGGAAAATTATTTGTTGGGATCCCGCGATTAATCTATCAGTTTAGACGTTCGACGCACGGGACTCTCTCCACTCCACGTTCTCTATTCCTTATCCCCGCGTGATCCCCCGAAATTCACGCGCTGGTGTACCTATAATGTACGCGAACAGTGAGACCACTCACAATCTATTTGTGGTATCTTAATTATTTCTTGTCGCACATCACTATATTTTATAAGATTTCTTTTTATAAGATATCTTCTCCTGTGTGCTTCCCTCTTTCCTTCTCTCTCATTCACTTACTCGTGGAATTTTCTCTGTTTTCTAAGTAAAAATAACGATTCATTCGCAACATTAAAATATTAATCTTTGTATCGATAATCAATAATCAAGAGAAAAGTGTAAGAGAGAAAAGGAGGAGGGAGGGGGTGAAAGAGAAAAAAGTATGATGGAAATAATGAATTCTTTTAAATTTTTACTATATAGTGCTCTGATTGTAGAAACTTACAAGACATAACTATTTATACTATAACACAGTAAAATTCGAAAATATACCTAATAAGAGTTGACACAATTAAAGAACTTTGATTATTTCTTTTATCGTCCTTTAATTTCTTTGCCTCTTGTTACGTTGCAAGTATTATTTCTGGAGAAATTACGTAAAACCAATTTTATTATTTGAAAATGCCGACAGCTATCAGAGGATTACATTACATTGTTCAAAATGTCTCACTCTTGTCCTCGGGAAACTTTCTCGGGTGTTAACAATTTTTCATTTCCTTAACTTCTAGTTCTTATTCTCATTTTTCTTGCTACTATTATCTTTAGAAAGTATAAGATATATACAATAATGAAGTTTTCCAAAAATATGTAGTACCCTTGCTGAGAGAAAATTTATCTAATAAGAAATAATATCTAAAAAACGAGATTAACTATAACTTTACAAATTTTAATTTAAAAACTAATTTAATCAGATAAAACTTTGGGTCCTGCTTCAAGAAACGTCATTGATATTTCTAAATAGGTTTGAAGTATAGACTCGAATCTGCACAGAAACTTCGGAAATGAATGTTCGATATCGGCTTAGGTAATAATTTATATATATATAAATTACACTCTTTGTTTCCGAGAACGCTTAGTCATTCAAATGATACGAAATTTTTACAAGTCAAACTGGCTGAAACTAGGTATAATATTTTGTGAATTATGAGATGCTGATAAAAAGTTTCTTACACAATAAAACCATAAAAATTGGACAGACATTTTGTTGTAGCACTATTTGGAAAATACTATTTTAGATCTAATCGAATTGGAAAGTATATAATATAATATCTTTATCTGCTAAATTATACATTTTTGGTAACTGTGCCTTAATTTATATGCACAATGCATAATTAATGTAGTGTCCTTTAAGTA